CAGCCTCAAATTCAGATATTTGGTTGGCACGTTTTCCTTTCTTCCTCTCTCTGGGAATATCAGTTTTCAGCAAGGAAACAGACTTAAAAAGATATCATATATTCCAAGTAGCAATTGAAGGGGAAAATAGCAATGTGATAGATGTTCTAAGCCTTATATCTAATTACCAAGCACACCACATCATGGCTGTTATTTTCTCATGAGCGTGTAATCCATCTGTACAGACAGTCTCAGCAGGAGTTGTTGGTGTAGTCCAGACTCAACTTCATTGCCCAGCTCTTAACTCTAAAAGGAAGAATGAAAGAAGGAAGGAGAATTATATGTTCATGTAGAGCAGAAGGCAGGTGGGGTGGGGAGGGAGAGAGGAAGAGAGTGACAAATGTGGGCTCACCACCATGGCACCAACTTAGGAGTCTCAGTGAACGGGAGGAAGATGGGAGCAGCTGGTGTTTATTGAGCCTTCACTACGATCCAAGCTCTGTTCTAAGGGCTTCTAAATGAATTAACCCATTTAAACCTCACGATGATGCTGTGAGGAAACAGAGGAACTTGATGGAGGTCACACCACTCACTAGTAAGTGGCAGAGCTGGCATCTGAATTCAGGGCTGGCTGGCTCCCGAGTCAGATGGCACTGTCAACCCTGGGTGCATGGCTGCCTTTGGCATCTGCCTGTTATATATGAAATTCTTCCTCTTGAGTCTAAATTACATGAAATCCACTTTTATTCTCTGGATAGAGCTTAGGTTTTTCTTTTCAATTGATTTTTAAATATTTATGTAATGCATGAATACATGTAAAAATTTAAGTTAAAATATCACAGATAAAATGGAAGTCATGGTTTTCTTTGACCAACACCACTAAATTCCTGTTCTCTCCCAGTTACCCGCCTCACTGGATCAATTTAGTAGCATTTTAGATGTTTGAAAATACATTTAGATGCTTGTTATGTATTCTTTGAAAATATATGGTAGTGTTTTGTACTTTCTACTTTTTAAAAGAAAACACATTAAGGGACTTCCCTGGTGGTCCGGTGGGTAAGTCACTGTGCTGCCAATGCAGGGGGCCCAGGTTCAATCCCTGGTCAGGGAACTAGATACCGCATGCATGCTGCAACTCAGAGTCTGCATGCCGCAACTAAGAAGCCCACATGCCACAACTATGAAGTCCGCATGCTGCAACTAAAGATCCCTCATGCCGCAACTAAGACCCGGCACAGCCAAAATTAATTAATTAATTAATTTTTAAAAAATAAAACAATAAGATGCTATTAAAAAAAAGAGAAGACACATTAATTGTATGATACCATAGTTCAGAGGTTCTCAAACTTTCTTGGTTTATGGCTCTTTCAGTATCTTAGTAATTATTTCATGGTGCCCTAGGTCAAAAGCATATTTAACAGTTCCATCTAAATAAGAGTTAGATCCAAACAACTTAGTATTTATGTCCTAACATAGCCATTATGGCCTTAGTAGACATTTAAAACATTACACACATGAAAAGAGTATTTTCAGTTTATTCTTAACCATAATTACTTACTCATAGGCAGTATGTGCTTATTGGACACTCCATGGCTCTCAAATCCTGGGATCAGATCAGATGCTACCACACTCATTGCCTGTTCCACACCTATTTTTGCACGGTACTCGTTTTCAATCACAGCAACCACTGGAAACCCAACTTTGCAAAACGAATGACATCAAAAGGATTATAATATGTTCTAATATTGGAACTGTGGACCTCCTTGAGCTCATAGTTTGCACGGTGTCCAGCAGACGTCTAGTATGGCTGCACTTCCCTGGGATGCTTCAGTGCACAATTTGGGAACTAACTCTGGCCACAGTTATTAATTTTGCAGTTCACTTTTTTCATCCCAAACTGTGCCTTAGGGATTCAACCATGTTACATATAAAGATTTACCTCCTATAAAACACTGCTGCAGAATTACCCAGAATTTATTTACCCATATTCCTGATTATGGCCATTAATGTTATTTCTAATATTTTGTAATTTTATATAATATTGCAGTGAAAATTCTGGTTTTTTCCTCTTTGTTCACATGGCCAAATTAGAGAATAAAGGAATTGCTAGGCCATAGGCCAGTCAGGTTTTTAAATTTTAGTACATACTAATAAATTGAGCTCTTTGAAGAAATGATTTTCTGTAATCCCTTGAAACATGATTACTGCTGGCTTATTTTTCTTAGGACTCTATACCCTATGACTATCCCATTGGGGAAGAATAGCTGTCTTGGAAATGTATATAGTGAGTGATTATATTGTAGGCAAAGGTAATTGAGAGGCAAGGGCAGAATATGAATAGGCTGAGAGGAAGAGGAAGGTTGGAGCCGATCAGAAACTGCAGGGCGTATTTTGTAGGACAATGAGAAGACCAGTTCATTTAAAGTAAATAATTTATGTAGGGCACAGATGGCAAATACCTTGCGGCATGCCTTAAATGTTTCCTCCCCCTCGGTGGGAGACATACTCAATCCATCATGGCACAGCAGACGTAACCAATCCATCACCGCACTCATTGTCTCTAAGCCTTCACACAGTCTTGGAGTTTTCCTCACAGCTCTGGGAGATTACCACCAACTAACTAGTGTGGGCACACAAAATGAAACTTACCTGTCATTCCCGGAGGCAGTGAGAAGGTGGAGAGGTAGGCTGAAGTTAGGCAGAGAAGGGCTAAGGAATTTAAAGAATGCCAAGCGAGGAGAATTTGGAAAACTTATTTATATTTCAGACTTTATTAGCAAAATGACTGGTGATCCTCTTTTGTGAAACAGTAGCAATAGTTATTGATCTCAGGCTGCTGTTATTTGTTTTCATGGCTTAGCTCTAAATTATCCTATTTATTTACTTCTAGAAAAGTAATTTAATCACCAGAGGCCCCTCTTATTATTCTCTTCCATGTGTCCCATATATTGAAAGATGTGGTCTACCAATTAAACTGTACTTATTAAGTAACAACAACAGCAACAGCAAACAAGCATTCGTTGAGTATTTTTCACGTGCCAGGCACTGTTTCAGCAACCTTACGTTTATTAACTTTTTATTGACTTTTAAAATCGTCACAACAACCTTACAAGGTAGGTACTATTACTATTCCCACTTTATAGTTGTGAAATTGAGACAGAAATTAAACATTCTGCCCAAGGTTATATACCTAGTAAGTGGTATAATCAATATGCCTTTCTCACTGTTCAATTTTAACTGTGTAAAGTCCAAGCATAATTTCTGATTAGAAGGAGATAACCAAAAGTACAATGGTACCAAGGGCCAAGAGGATAGGGGGAATGGGAGTTATTGTTTAATAGGTATAGAGTTTAAATATTACAAGATGAAAAGAGTTCTGGAGATGGATGGTGGTGATGGTAGCACACCGTTATGAATGTATTTAATATCACTGAACTATACACTTAAAAATGGTTAGAATGGTGAATTTTATGTTATGTATATTTTACCACAATAAAAAAATCAGGGTTCCCAACATGAGTTGGTATAATTTTGGCCAGAAGCAAAGAAATTTGCTATATTAGTTTGCTTGTGCAACATGTCAAGGGTAAATGCATGGTTTTCTGGCAGATTCTTCATTTAGAAGAGTTAGATTTATTTTAAATAGCCAAAAGACCCCCATTCTTGTTTAAAGACTTGCAGAGATCTGAAACCCAAGATTGGAGACTACTGATTGGAACGCTCAATTCTCCAGCTCCTGGGGAGGTAGGGAGTGTTCAGCAAGGAGAATAATACATTTTAGAGTGAACTGATCTGTTGGGAGGCCACGTGCCTGAGGTTAAGGGCCTGTGCTCTGGAATCCCACTGAGCGCTAGCTTCACCATTTCTTCCCTTTGCCATTTCCTTGGGAAGTTCTTTAACATCCTGAGCCCAAGATTTCTCATCTGTAAATAGGGTGGTAGTGATAGCTCATGGAAACTCTTGGAAAGTCTGGCACTTGCTGAGCACACAACAATGCTAGCTCCTGTTAAACTTTATGGCTATGCATTTACATCAAACAATAGGGATAATACAGAACCTTGAGGCTTACTGGATGCCACAAATGAGATAGAGTGAGGTGTAAGTGCTCAACTAACGGTAAGTTTCCTCCTCTTTCGTCTCCAGTAATCAGCAGGGAGTGGGTGCCCCATAAGTGAGGGGTCCCTGACATCTGGATGGATACCCATTGGCACCCCTCTTATCATCTTGTATGATAAGTGATGCTTATCGTATATCTGGTGTATAAAGTGATGCTTCCTGACGTTCCTTAAGCAGCTTCAGGGGCATCATGGTTAGTGATATCAGAGGCTGCCCTGATCTCGGCATGTCGAAGTGACCTTCACTCATGGTGTGGAGAGAGCTAGGCGCTGGGGCCAGCATTGTGTCTGCTTCAGATACCTGTCAGTAACACGATTCTGAGCTATTCAGGACTTTGGGCTTCTTTGTTTTGTGTTGGAGCTGATTTTGCTTCTTGATGACCTCAGGCCTCTGAAATAAGATATTTAAAATAATATGTTCCTCCCTACTGTGAAGGAAGAATTGCCTCTGTGTGTGACAGAGCTAATGCTGGCTTGGCCCACTGTTAACCTGAAAGGATGCTGCTGGACTGTGACTCGTAGAGGTCACAGATGTCAAAGTCTTTAGCCATCTGTGGTTTGCCCAGAGCAGTGGAGCTCAAAGAATCACCTAGGAGCCAACTAGAGCCACTGGAACATCCAATTTAAGTGCATGTTTTCTCCCTTGTCCTTCTCTCCTAGCAACTGTATGACTCAAATACTACTTAGAAAGTATTAATTCTCTGTAATTTATACCCTTGCCTGTGGTATTATTATTGCCAGTTGTTCATGTTAATCTTTAGAGGGTGGAACCCTGAGGAATATCTATGGGGAACTGAGGCTGTACTTTGGAAAAAGAATATCTTTATTAAATTTGTTTTAGTTATTAAGTATGCATCACATGGTCCAGCCGTTTGACCCACAATCTCTCTCTTTTTTTCTCCCCAGCACTGGCTTGAACCTAACAAGTCCATCTCCAAGCAAATGAAATGTAAGTGTCAATCTGTGTATTCACTTTTGCTATGAAATGTCCAAAGATAGACTCTACTTCTTTACAAAGTTTCTCCTGCCAGGGAGGAAATGGATGGAGTTGAAGATTTGGGGGTTGGGGGCTTCTGCCTCCCAGGGAGAGCTGTGTAACTTCTCTCTTATTTGTTGGCCTCGGTCCTCCCTGCAGTCACTATTCCTATAGCTGCCTGTGTCTCTCACCCACCCCACCATCTTACCCTCGTATTTCATATTCGAACAGGGGTATTGGTGCCTGGTTCCCTTTGATTGTTGGGGTTGCTAGTAAATGGTTCAGGGTGGGAGGTCAGTCTTGGGGGGGCAATGAGAGAGGCAGGTGTATTTTGAAACTATGATCTTGCTGCTAACTTTACTGAAGATTGTAGTATTCTTTTCCACCCCTCAACCTCCCCAATATATTTTTCTGGGTAATAGCTTTCAAGCTCTGGTGTTCTGAACTGCCTTTTTTCCCCCCGATGAGCTCTTGGAAGAGTCGGCTAGGGAAACATCTCTGTAGAATATAGAATATCTGGTCATGCACCTGGGGCATTGTGAGGAGGGTGTTGACTGATGGTCCTGGGTGGCATGACGTTTTGTCCTAGTCACCCGTGCCAGGTTGTAGTCAACCTGTTTTTATTTATGGTTTAGAGGAGAGCTTCTGAAATGCACCTCAGAAATTCACTGCCTGCCCTGAAATCCATTTATCCCTTCATGTCACCGTTCCCAGGGCTCTGAAATATAGGCGATAAATCAGTTTCTCATCAGAGATCAGGTTAGCGCATATTATGTCATTTGTCATCATTCAAGGGATTCCTTTCTTTTTCAAATATGAAGAAATTATTTGGGGCAAGGTTTTTAAGTGGGAGAAGGAAGAAACTGAACATGGATGGCAAACTAGTAACCAACATACCTATTCCTTAACTCTCTTCTTTTTCCCTCCCTCCCTCTCCCTTTTTCTCTCTTTGTCCTCCCTCATACCTCTCTCTGTCTGCCCCTTCCCATTCTTCACCCATCTCTCTTCCATCTCTCAAGAGCAAACTGGCCAGTTCAGGACACACAGCCAGCCAGGTTGTTCAGGCTAACACCCAGGGCTGCTGTGGGCGATGGGTGCTGCAGAGAGAGGGCAGGAAAGATATGTGGGATGCAAACAGGGGCAGCAGTGCACATGCAAAGTTCAGAGAGGTCAGGCTCTTGGGGTGAAGCTGGAATAGAGTTGGGACAGACATCCCAGAAGAAGTAGCAGAACAGAATTATCAGGAAGCTTTGTATAGAATGATATGCAGGATAGTGAGAATGAACTAACTTGTCTGCGAAAAAAAATAGCTCATGCCTGGCTTTTATCCCTTAACTACAAAGTTTTGATATTTTTGTTAATATATTTTAAAATATTTAGATAATTTTCCAGTACACTTATTTATAGTAAATAGTTCTTTGACTTTTGTTCTTAAATGTCATGAAATATTTTCCTTAGGGCACACATTTTTGAAATATAACTTGTCTCTAAAGTAAGATATATTTCAACACTTAATAGAAGAGAAAATTTTATATTTGTGAAGAAGTTTCTGCTTAAGAGCTTTGTGTCTACACATGCTAAATCTGAACAACCAACTCAAGATATATAATGTTTTGGGAAATGTGGTTTCAAAATTGATGTATGACAATTGGCCAGTTTCAATCTAATGACAAATAGAATCTGAATCTGGAAAAAAGAATTGTGTAAAATTCAATTTCTAAACCAGACACGGTGACTCACTGATTCTAGGAACCAGCAAGGGTCCTACCTGTCACCTAAGTCCTCTGTTGTATTGTTAAGAACATTAGTGATCAAAAAATTATGTAATTTTTCTCAAGATCACAAACCTCGTTTTGTTGTTGTTCTTGATGTCTTTTAGTTTCAAGAATTTCTTGTGTTCTTGTGCATATGTCCTGGAAATATTCACTATACTGTAAATTAGAAAAAATTTAAGCTAGGGCTTATAGACTGTTAATGCAGAAAAACTGGGTCCAACCCTTGGGACTCATTCATGAGTTTATCAACAGGATCTGGTTGCAGAACCCCAGGCAGCTTCCTCTTTGGTTGTGGGTATGCTGTTTATATTCTGACTGCCTTTGAGTAGGCAGTGAGACTGTAATTCCTTGGAGGAAGAGTTTCCTCCATTCCCATCTCCCTCACCAGCGATGACCAACTTTCAGGTCCTTTGCCCTGACCCCATTAAGATCCCTCTGACTATGGACGTTCCCAGGTTGGCAGAAGGCCAGCTATCCTGATTAATAAACTTTGTACAAAGCCATTATTATGTCTTACTAACATTTTTGAAAATAGTTTTTTAATAGTATCATGTTTGTGGTTTTTCTAGCAGTTCAGAAAAGTTTAAACTATTTCCTTTCTCCTCCTGCTTATATCTCCATGCTTACTCCAAAGAGATAACTATTGTTAACAGTATTTTATATATCCTTCTGGGAATTTTTATGTATGTATAAGCTCCCCCAACATATATAAGGCCTTTCCTAAACAAAAATGAGATCAGTCACTATATATTATTCTTCACCTTGTTATTTTTCTTAATAATTTTAGAGAATTTTTTTCGAAATCAGTGATTGATGATTAGCCTCGTTTTGAAAATGGTTTTCTGGTAGTTAATTGTATGCATCTATGTAATTTACTTATTAATGGACATCCACATTGTTTATAGTCTCTTCCTATTACAAATTATGCTGTCATAAACATGCTTATATGTATATTCTTGATCTTGTACACCTGTCCTAGAAATTCCTAGAAGTTGAGTTGTTGGATCAAAAAGTATACACATTTTATATTTCCTTGGAGATAAATATCCATCCAAAGATCTTACAGTAATTTACTCCACTAATGTTACATGAGAGACCTTGTTTCCCTCAAATCTTGTTGAAGATAGGTATATCAGACTTGTTTTTATGATGACCTCATGTTTATTAAGGAAGAGAAATATGTAATTGAAAAACTGATTAACTGGGCAGTTATTAACTTTCAGTTTTAAAACTGAGAAACTTCTTAAACCAGTCTTATTTCTCCTCTGACCTTAGGAGTTACTTTCAATTTTATTTTTTAAATGAACATATGGTAAAATTGCCTTTATTTTGTTCTACAGCGCTATGAATTTTTAGCACACAGATAGATTTGTGTCCTCCACGGTCAGGATACAGAACACATCACTCTAAACACCTGTCTTGTGCTGACCCTGTGTCGTCACACCCACCTCCCCTAAGGCTCCACTGACCTGTTCTCTGTCAATATAGTTTGTATCTTTTGAGAGTGTCCTATAAACTGAGCCATACAGCTTGTAATCTTTTGAAACTGGTTTCTTTCACTCAGCATTAATAACTCTGAGATTCATCCAAGTTCTTATGTTTCAATACATGATGCAGAAAATTAATGAGAATAGTTGGTCTTTGAAAAGGTCAAGAAAAGTTGATAAACCTCTAGCAAGACTGATGAAGAAAAAGACAGAAGACACAAACTACCAATATCAGGATCAAAAGAGGATCTGTCACTACAGACCCCAAAGAACAACTCTAGGTATGAAGTTCGACAGCTTAGATGAAATGGACCAATTCCAAAAAAACCACAAATTACCAAAACTCACCCAATAAGAAATACATAACATAAGTAGTTTTACAATTATTTAAGATACTAGGTTTCAAATCTTCCAGAAAGGAAATCTTCCGCCTACTTGCTGCCATTGCTGTTGCTGCCAGAACCCCTTTTCTTGCTCTTCAGGCCTTAACTAGGAGCTTCTAAGTCTGTGCTGATACCCAGGTATCTCTGAGTTCTGTCCAGGGAACACAAAGGGGAAAATGTGGTGAACTCAACACTGGTTCACTGATTCTTCGAATGCTTGCCTTTGTTTCCAATCTGCCTGCTACTGTTTACTTTCCAGAGACCGTAAATGGCTGCTGCACATGTTCTGTCCAGGTTTTATAGGTGCATTCAAGGCGAGAGACAGGGTGGGGTGCAAGTAGTCCATCCTGCCCAGAACTGAAACTTTAAAGTCAGCTTTTAATAGTTCCTTGTCTACTGGGTAAAAATGCAGATAGGCTACATAATTTACTTGGGAAACATTGAGGGAATATCTTTCTCATTTCCGTGTTCCATCACTGTATATCCCTAAGTACAAACGTGGACTGAGCTGGTGATTTGTTTTTCTTTCAAAAGTACTCAGGTAATAGACTGCCTGCAAACAAAGTGTCAAATGAAATGCATGTATTTTTTTTAACATCTTTTTGGGAATATAATTGCTTTACAATGGTGTGTTAGTTTCTGCTTTATAACAAGGTGAATCAGCTATATATATACTTATATCCCCGTATCTCCTCCCTCTTTCATCTCCCTCCCACCCTCCCTACCCCACCCCTCTAGGTGGTCACAAAGCACCGAGCTGAGCTGATCTCTCTGTGCTATGCGGCTGCTTCCCACTAGCTATCTATTTTACATTTGGTAGTGTATATATGTCCATGCCACTCTCTCACTTCATCCCAGCTTACCCGTCCCCATCCCTGTGTCCTCAAGTCCATTCTCTACGCCTGTGTCTTTATTCCTGTCCTGCCCCTAGGTTCTTCAGAACCTTTTTTTTTTTTTAGATTCCCTATATATGTGTTAGCATATGGTATTTGTTTTTCTCTTTCGGACTTACTTCGCTCTGTATGACAGACTCTGGGTCCATCCACCTCACTACAAATAACTCAATTTCGTTTCTTTTTATGGCTGAGTAATATTCCCTTGTATATGTGTGCCACATCTTCTTTATTCATTCATCTGTCGATGGGCACTTAGGTTGCATCCATGTCCTGGCTATTGTAAATAGAGCTGCAATGATGAAGTGCATATTTTGAATGTTTGGTTTTCAGAGTCCTAGCTTTCCGTGCAGGAATGCTGCTATGTAATACATACTGACTCTTCTCACTTCGAACCTATAGCTTTTTTTTTTTCTTTTCTTTTTTTTTTTTTTG